GATATTTCTAGCTTCCTTGCTCAGATGTTACTGTACCTTTAAAAAACTATACCTAATTAATTGGAAAGCAATCATTAAAACCTATGGGTGTGGAGTACTGGGAGGCAATACATTTTCCCTGCCTTTGACTCACCGTGCAAAGAAATAGACAATATTTTGTTTTGAGAACGTTAGGTGTTCTACTTTGACATCATTCCTTTATTTGTTCTTAGAGAACCTGTTAATCTGTCACATTTGTGGGGCTTCTAGGGGGTGTGGAAAGCAAGGAAAATTGATAGAAATGCAAATTTGGGTCAAGATTCACTAGGGTTCAATGGATTGGAGAGGAGAAAAAGAAAATAAAGAAAGCAAGATAGAAAACAGAATGGTCTTGGAACAACAGTCAGTATGTATGCTGTAGCTCCAAATCCCTCTAGTCTGCAGTCATATTAGAAGTTTGAAACAAATTCTTGCACTTCTTCAGACAGCACCTTGATCAGCGGTACTAGATATGTTTCATCCCTTTTGTTGAAATAGATTCCTTCTGTAGAAAGACTACAGATTTAATGGATGCAGTTTCCTGAACCATCATTCGCAAACAGAATAGTTGAATTTTAAAATTTCAATTATATTTAATTCAACATAATTAGATATATAAATAGAATAAATATTGCAATTACATTGTCTGGCACAGCTTTCCATCTGTTCTTGGATTGCGATTATGCTTTGTTCATAATATTTTAGTATTTTACAAGCCTCGTTGTTTCAAAAAAATTTTTGTAGAGAATGGAGGACATAGATGCTGTGTGAATAAGCAGCTGTTTGGCAGCCAAAACGTTCCTTCTTGTTTTCAGCTCTCACCTTAGATGTCGTTCAGAAAGATGAGTCACTGATACTGACAGTACTTTGACCAAAGCATTGCTCCAAACATCTTGTAAAATAGATTTCAGAAAAAAGATGGAAACATTGAATTTGCAATGATTGTAGATGTGGAAAAGCCTTCAGAAGAGGGAAATGTGTCGTTTCCATGCTTCTGATTTTGGTTGCCTGTGAGGACAATGAAGAAGTTTCAAAACCATGGGGAGAGCTAATGTGTGGATAGTCAGTCATTGTGGCTACCTGACGTCATCAAATGTCGGACATTTACAGGAGTTCTTCAACAACTGGCGAATGGGATCCCAGGGCCATGGGCAGGGTTATCATTGTCCTGCATTTAGAAGAGGTCATGCATGAGAGGAGTTTTGTCCTGCAGTATTTCTTATGAAGATGACTGTAGCCATGAAACACAAAGAAGAAAGCAGTGAACAACTATTCTGAAGGAGATCATAACTGAATGGAAAAAAAAAAAAAAAATCATGTTTGGAGCAACATGATAAGTCAAATGTCAAATGGGAAATTTTCTTTGGATGTGAATGCATAAAAAGACATATTGTCCAAGGGCCCTTCAGATCATAGCTGGACTATATTAACCGCTGAAGGAGATTCTTATTCCCCTGCTATGACCAGACAGGAAGCCCAAAACTGACATGTTTCTCTCTCCTGAAGCACTGTTTGTGCTTCTCTAAGTCATATGAATTCAGGTCATGCCACCTGTCCCCTAATACTTGCCTCGTTAAGCAACAAGTTCAAAGGGAGTATTTTTCTCTCAGTAAATTCTGAGGCAAGGAGAGAT